TGGGAGTGTGTGTGCATGTAGGGGACAGTGTGGGAGTGTGTTTGCGCATGGGAGACAGTGTGGGAGTGTGTGTGCGTGTAGGGAACAGTGTGGGAGTGTGTGTGCATGTAGGGGACAGTGTGGGAGTGTGTGTGCATGTAGGGGACAGTGTGGGAGTGTGTTTGCGCGTGGGAGACAGTGTGGGAGTGTGTGTGCGTGTAGGGAACAGTGTGGGAGTGTGTGTGCGTGTGGGAGACAGTGTGGGAGTGTGTGTGCATGTAGGGGACAGTGTGGGAGTGAGTGAGCGTGTAGGGGACAGTGTGGGAGTGTGTGTGCATGTAGGGGACAGTGTGGGAGTGTGTGTGTATGTGACTCTGAGTGTGAGAGTGAGACAGTATGTGAGTATATGTGTATGTGGCTGAGTGTGAGAGTGAGACAGTGTGTGAGTATATGTGTATATGACTGAGTGTGAGAGCGAGACACTGTGTGAGTGTATGTGTATGTGACTGAGTGTGAGAGTGAGACAGTATGTGAGTGTATGTGTATGTGGCTGAGTGTGAGAGTGAGACAGTGTGTGAGTGTATGTGTATGTGACTGAGTGTGAGAGTGAGACAGTGTGTGAGTGTATGTGTATGTGACTGAGTGTGAGAGTGAGACAGTGTGTGAGTGTATGTGTATGTGACTGAGTGTGAGAGTGAGACAGTGTGTGAGTGTATGTGTATGTGACTGAGTGTGAGAGTGAGACAGTGTGTGAGTGTATGTGTATGTGACTGAGTGTGAGAGTGAGACAGTGTGTGAGTGTATGTGTATGTGACTGAGTGTGAGAGTGAGACAGTACAGGATTCACAGCATGCAGCAGTGACAGTATATGGGAGTGAAAGTGTACAGGAGTGTGAGACTGTGAGAGTGCAAGAATGCGGGAGTGAGACAGTGTAGGACTAAGAGGGTGCGGTAGAGATTAGTGTGCTGTAGAGATTAGTGTGTGGTCGAGATTAGTGTGCGGTAGAGATTAGTGTGCGGTAGAGATTAGTGTGCGGTGAGATTAGTGTGCGGTAGTGGTAGTCGGTGGGTGTGAGAGAGTGTGGGAGCGAAGGACTTAGCTTTTGTATGTGTTCTGTGTATAACAGGTACACATAGGGAGGCATGTACTCACACAGCGACACACGGGGAAGCGTGTACTCACATAGCGATACACGGGGAAGCGTGTACTCACACACACGGACACACAAAGAAGCGTGTACTCACACACACAGGGATGTGTGTACTCACACACACAGGCACATGGTGATGTGTGAGCTCACACACGGGGAAGCATGTACTCACACACACGGTGACACACGGGGAAGCGTGTACTCACACACAGACACACGGGGAAGTG